TATCAAAACAAATAATAATAATAAAACAATATACACTACAGTTAAGTTTCCAGGTCAGACATTTTTTAATGCTTTTGAAAGACTGCTCGTTGTCGCCAAGGTTGCATTCATTTGATCCAAAATACAGAAAAAAACAGTAATATTGTGAAATATTACAATTTGAAAGAATTGTTTTCAGTTTAAATGCATTTAAAAAATACATTTATTCCTGTTATGCCATAGCTGAATTTTCAGTATGAAAATCGTTCTAATATGCTGATTTAGTGTGCATGAAACATTATTATAATTTATATATATTTTCCTCATTTTAGTCAGGCCCTGTGTAATTTCTGTCCCTGATACAAACTTCTGATACATGTACACATTAGAATACTTACTAAACAAACATGCAGGGGGGAATATGTAGGGGTTCATGGATTTAAAAAGCCAAATTCTGCATCGTATGTGCATTCAATTGTTTATATGTTTAATAATAAGAAGAGGGATGTGTTAAGGCGAAGTGAACTCACCAACAACACCAGTAGTTCCATCTCCAATTTCATCATCTTGAGACTTGGAGAGTTCTACCATAAGCTTGGCAATCTGATGGTCCACATCCATCATGCTGAGGATCGTCGCACCATCATTGGTCACAGTCACCTCACCATCCTTATCCACCATCATCTTGTCAAGTCCTGTAAACAACAATCATTTACATCAAGAAAACAGCAAGGAACGGACTAGCAAGGCTACATGCAGAATTGAGGACTTACCATTTGGCCCAATTGATGTTTTCAGGGTGTTTGCAACTGCTTTTGCTGCCATGATGTGAGACTGTAATGTGCAGGTTTAACATTAAAATATGCGTGTCACAAACGACAAACTTCTTGACAGGATTCTTGACAAATAATCATACGTTAATTAGTAGGAAAATAAAGTCAAAGTACAGTTACAGCGGTCTTACGTATATATTAAAAATATTTTTCAAATATTTTGTCTCCCTGACTACGCATCATGACTCTTAACGTTACACCGCTAGAGGAAGCACATGGACCATCCATGCAGGTTGGCATGAGGTGCATTACTGATCACAGTAGACGATTACAGAAAGACATGTTTCTATGTCAGACTACATAAGC